TTTAATAATAGTAATAATAATAATAATAATAATAATAATAATAATAATAATAATAATTAAAAATAAATAAATAAATAGCATTTGTACAGTGCATGTCCCCACTCAAAAGCAAGCTCTATGCGCTTTGCACTGTATATTACCCCAGCAGACCACAGAACACTCGGAAACATTCTCAGCTTCCTTGGAAGCATACAGTGCAAGCAGCTGGTTAAGCGCTTAAACACTAACAAACTGACAAGATCTTTTCATCTTTCTTTTCATCTTTTTTTTCATCTCTGTATTTCTCTCTCTCCCTCAATCTGTCAGTGTGGACAAACCAACCTTTATATACTTGGAGACGAAGATATCATTCTCCGGCGGGTACACACACATCACCACTCCCTGTCTCGGCGACTCGGGCAAAGGGACACAATCCTTGTATGGCAGTTCAGAGGTCGGGTAGGATTTGACCACATTCACACTGGCGTGAAGGGCTGACGCGCTACGCACCATGGCTCCCTCTCCAAGTGATGCTCGGTTCTGTGGATTAAAAAAAAGAGAAAGGGATGGTGAGGAAAAATGTATGTTCTTTGGCTTTATCTTATCATACCATACCGTACTATGGCGTACTTTACCATACCATACCACACCATACCATACCCCACCATACCGTACCACACCATACCATACCATACCATACCACACCATACCATACCATACCATACCATACCATACCATACCATACCACACCATACCATACCATACCAAACATATCATACCATGCCATAAAATACCATACCACACCATACCGTACCACACCATACCATACCATACCATACCACACCATACCATACCACACCATACCACACCATACCATACCATACCATACCATACCATACCACACCATACCACACCATACCATACCAAACATATACTATGCCATAAAATACCATACCACACCATGCCACACCACACCATACCATACCAAACATATCATGCCGTACTGTACCATACTTTACCACACCATACCATACCAACAATACCACACTTTTCCATATTATCATAACAAACCATACCGTACCGTACTTTACCATACCATACCGAAATATACCATACCATACCATACCATACCATACCGTACCGTACTTTACCATACCATACCGAAATGTAACATACCATACCATACCATACCGTACTTTACCATACCATACCGTACTGTACTTTACCATACCATACCGAAATATACCATACCATACCATACCGTACTTTACCATACCATACCATACCGTACTTTACCATACCATACCGTAACATACCATACCATACCATACCGTACTTTACCATACCATACCATACCATACCGTAACATACCATACTACACCATACCA